CAGCCAACTGGAAAATGAGACCAATAGGTTCTATTCTTAGTTCCATCATTAACCTTGGACATATTTTGTAACTTAGCTGGAGCTCTCCTTAGCTGCCTGTAAAGCTGAAAAAGTTATAAATACAGGGGATGGTTTTAGTAAGTAATTAAAATTCTGACTCTGAAGTGTAAAATGTTCACAGCACCTCCCGAAACTGCTGAGGGAAGGTCCTGCTGTGCAGGTGAATGCATGTGAGCTGGGTGCAGGGAGCGTGTTTGGGGCAGGTCATGTCCCTTGGGCAGGACAGTCTCATTTTCCTGAAGGATTCCCTCTTTCCCTCCCTGCTCCCCACAGCTGGGGCAGTTTTCCAGCAGTTTTCCATAGCTCTGTTCGGTGAATCCCAGAACCACGGATCTCAGAGGTGTCGCAGTGGTAACGAACCCTGTGGTTGGGTGATTGTCAGCTTCTGTTACATTTTGGACAGATGGAAGCGCTTCAGACCCTGTCTGAGATCGCAGGATGAGGAAGGAGGAGGCTGAGAGCTCGCTTGCCTTCAGGAGCCACCATCACTGCGACGTCACTCGGTGGTGGCAGCGCGTCGAGCTCTCGGTGCAGCTGGTGTGGACACTGCGTGTCTGCTGCTGGGGCAAGGGAGAGGGGCTTTAAAGAGCTTTAAACTGGGTCACCCAAGGGATTGTTGATGTGGCACCTCCAGGAGCTTCCAGTTATGGGACAGAACGGGCACAGGTTGCCCAGAGAAGCTGTGGATGCCCCATCCTTGAACACCTTCAAGGCCAGGTTGGACGGGGCTCTGAGCAACCTGATCCAGGTGGAGATGTCTCTGCTCACTGTGAAGGGCTGGACAAGATGGGCTTTAAAGGTCCCTTCACCCCAAACCATCCTCTGAAATTCCTGAAATAACCTTGTTTAGCTCTTACTCTGTGCTCACCCTGTGCTGGAAGGCTCCTGTTTGCTCTTTTTCCTTAGTGAACAGACACTTAAAATATATTGGTGCTTCATATCCAGAGTTTCAGAGGTCAGGGCAGTTTATTGCCTTAGATTCTACTCTTTAAAGCAGATCATATAAATGACTCTGATGGACATACTGACCCATCTCGCTGAAAGATGCCTCCTGAAGTGCCTGTTCCTGTGGGAACAGTGTGTCAGTCAGTGTCCAGGATCCCAAGTTCCATGTACTTGTTTCTCTTCTTAAGAATTTTGGGAAATTTTATTCTGATAGGGTTGGTTGTGTTTTTTTTTTTTTTTTTTTAATGTCTTCCTGAGTTATATTGACCTTGAATTATTTGTCTGGGGGAGAGCACCTAATAACTGCCTTATTAATTCTTAATACATTTAAATAACTCCCTTCCTCATTTGGTAGAACATCTGTGTGGAGCTTTCAGAATAAATGCTGCATTTCCAAGCCTGTCACTTCTTGCTATTGCAATGATTAGTCTTCTGCTACCCTACTTGTCAGGAATTATTGATTGTTCAGCTTGGAGAGAGGCTTGACAGTTGGGAGATACACTTGGCTATTGGAATATTGGTTTATATTGATGTGAGTCCTGTTGGAAAAACAGCTGGGAAAACATCTGTCCCTTCAAAGGTACCAGGCAAACATAATTTGAGGAGGAAAACAATTTCTTAGGCAGTTTGTTCTGGTTCTGCAGATGTTTAGGGAGTGTGTTTGTGGCTTTTTATCGAGATGTTTTAAATTGTTTACTGCGAACCATTCACTGGGGGAGCAGATGGAACCTGGGGGGGATCTATTTGAGCTCAGGTTGAACCTTTTGGAACTTTTAGCACCTACAGAAGGTGTAGGGGCACAACAGCCACGGGGGGAGTGAGAGGGACTGGGAGGTGCAGGTGCCCTGCAGAGAGAAATGAGGAGAACCTGAAATGCAATTGGACATGTTCCCCCAAATAATCAGATTTTCTTCCTTTTGTTGTCAAAGCAAGTTAAACGTTGCCTTTTGTGGGGTTGTTTTGTTTTCTTCTTTTTCCAAATTAAAGTAAAATAGGGTAAAAGAAATCAAGACAAATGATCAGTCCCTGGTTGTTACAGCCAGGAAAGAAGTTTTGGCTCTGAACCCTTATCTCTGGGAGGTTCAGCTTGAGAGAGCATCTTGAACTTTGAAAGTCTGGGGGTGCTGGATGCTCTGTTCCAGTACATCCTACCTGAATGTTTGTTTGGTTTTGTTTTCTCTCTCTCTCCCATCGCCAGGTTGTGACTCGACTTATTCACTTGCTGGGAGAGAAGATCCTTGGCAGTTTGCAGCAGGGAGGTAAGACTCATTCCTGGACTACTTGGACTTCCTTGGAGCCAGACTTACATTCCTAAATCTGGAAACAGCTCATACTTGGAAAGAGAATTTGTCATTAAATTTTGGCCTGGAGAAGAGGAGGCTCCAGGGGGAACTCAGAGCCCCTTCCAGGGGCTCCAGGAGAGCTGGAGAGGGACTGGGGACAAGGACACAGAGAGACAGGACAAGGGGGAATGGCTTCCCACTGCCAGAGGGCAGGGTTAGGTGGGAAACTGGGGAGAAATCCTTCTCTGTGAGGGTGGGCAGGCCCTGGCACAGGTTGCCCAGAGCAGCTGTGGCTGCCTCTGGATCCCTGGAAGTGTCCAAGGCCAGGTTGGAGCACCCTGGGCTAGTGGGAGGTGTCCCTGCCTGTGGCAGGGGGTGGAACTGGATGATCTTTAAGGTCCCTTCCAACCCAAACCATCCTGTGATCCGTAAGAGCTTTGGCACAAGTGGATGGGGATTTTATTATGTGTACACAGTTTTTTTTTGGCAGAGCGTGGTTAACTAAGTGTGGGAAAGGAGTGATTTGCAATTGAGATAGAAAAGTGCTGCTGCCTGTGTGCAATGAAATTTCTTTGGAATTTCTTGCAAGAGGAATGTAAAGGGAACACTGGAAATAGCAGCTGTAGTGGGCTGGAATCAGAGAGCTGTGCTCAGTGGCATCTGCAGAGAGACTGACTTAATATGCCTGTATTTGCATTATTTTAATGAATTGTCTGGGAGGAAAGGGTCTGCTATGGGTTGGTTCTGAAGCTTTGTGTTTGTGGCAGCACCAACTCCAAGTCTATTTACTGATTGAAGGGAGTAGGAGGAAATTTTCCCAATTTGCTTCAGCAGCTTTTAAGAGACACATGTTGACTACTGAGGGCGTCGTGGGGTTCCCTTTGCTGCTGGGGATTGTTTGGGTTTTCTTTGGTTGTGGGGGTTTAATTACTTTTATTATTTTATTGCTTTTATTTTTTGGGGTTTTTTTTGCAATATTCCAAGGAGACTGAAAATGGAGTCAGCGACTCTCCTGTTTCAGAGCAGTTTGGAGGAGGGAATCTCAAACTCTGCCCCTTCTTCACATGCTCAGCTCTCTGGGCACAATCAGCTGTGTGCAAATGCCTGCTGATACCTGTGCTTAAACCTCAGTGGCCTTGGGCAATCTGCCCTTTTTGGGAAATAGGGCAAAAATAGAGAAAAGAAAACAGGAGGGAAATTAGTGACAGTTGCAGGAGTTCAGAGATTCACCACTGAAGATCTGAGGAGGGAAGGGCTGGTGGAGATGAAGGGGTTGAGCTGTGATGTGTAACTTGTTTGAACCTACAAATATCTCCTTGAAGATCACTGAAAAGAGTTGGAAAAGCTGTTTCATGTTCTGTGCAGAGCTGTTTGAGAAGACTTGAAATTAATAACTCAATCGCTGAATATACTTGAAAAAAAAAGTTTATCTGATTTTTTTTTGGTGTGTCCTGCAGTGCACTGTCGCTCTGCCAGAGAGCCTTTGAATGGCTTTTCACAGGGTGTATCAAGTATTTCCATATTGCCCAGCTCAAGAATTCATCTTAATGGTACATCTTGGGCCTTTGCTGGGTGAAATGAGATAAGCAGGACGTGAAATCCCAGCTTGGATGTCAGAATTTATTGTGTACTTGGAGCTGAGTTGACAGGCATGAACAGCAGAGTGAGAGTGTCTGAGAAGGCTCAGTTAAGGAGGAAAGAAAGAGTGTGAGAATAAAACCAGTTTGTAGAACATCCCCATCATTTTTCTGCTCTGAGCTATCTGGGAAGATCTTGATCTTGGTAACACTCACTGCACGCTTCTGCCAAAAACTGCTTCACTCTGCCCAGATCTCTGTCCTTATTCATCCTACCAAATTATACTGGAGATACTTCCCAGTTACTCTGCAGCTACTTCAGAGCTTCTATATTTCAGTTTAATGCTCCCAAGCCCATATCTGTAAAGCTCTGCAAAAGAAATAAAACCAGGTAGAGATACACATCCCCTATAAGAACTTTGTTGGAAACAGGTATTTGTTTCCTTTCTCAAGAATGCCGTAAAAATAAACGGTGATTTTTAGAGTCTTTTAATTCTTTCAACAGATTTTGGGGTTTCTGTTAGTTAAGCTGATTCTTCTTGTGGCCTAAATCAGAGCCTGTTCCAAAGATGTGGCTGTTCAAAGAGATTCAATTGTGTTTTTTATCTTTATCCTCCCAGGTCAGGTAAATGCACGTTGCATTTACCCTATTCCTGGCATCCAGATATTCTTAACATTTGTGACGAGGAGTTAGGCAATGTTATGTCAGCAGCCAAACATGATGGAAATTGATCTTTATCCTCTTACAATGAAATATGTGGGAACTCTCCATTTCTCTGGGCTTGAGCAGTTGGTGGCACTTTCCTTCCTGCCCAAAGGTGACATTTCATTGCTCACAGCCGACCTTGTGGCTGTCTGGGCTGACTGATGGCAAGTGCTCTCCTTCCCAACAGGTCACCCTCTTGGATTACACAGCTCCAGCAGCAAGTGGGATGCTGGGAATCCTGCCAGCAACCTGTCCACGGTGGCGATCATGCCGGTGTCCGAGGAGGTGCCGCTGACGGCCTTCACCCTGGAGCTCAAACACGCCCTCAGTGCTGTGGGTGAGTGTTGTTTCCATCCTGCTCCATCGCACAGGAAGGAAATCCTGCTTGTCTTTTGAGAGAGGTACAGCCTGTCAGGAGCCACAGGTGGGTTCCTGCTGCTTTAGAGGGGTGGCAGTACATAAAATGATCAGAGGGTTTGAGAAGTTCTGGAGAGACCCCATTGCAGCTTCCCAATGCCTTAAAAGGGAATATAAAAGGGAGGGAGGAGGACTTTTTATACAGGCAGATCATGACAGGACAAGGGGGAATGGCTTCCCACTGCCAGAGGGCAGGGTTTGGTGGGATATTGGGAAGGAATTGTTCCCTGTGAGGGTTGGGGGCCCTGGCACAGGTTGCCCAGAGAAGCTGTGGCTGCCCCTGGATCCCTGGAAGTGTCCAAGGCCAGGTTGGATGGGGCTCTGAGCATCCTGAGTAGGAAGTGGTGTCTCTGCCTGTGGCACGTGTGTTGGATTAGATGATCTGTAAGGTCCCTTCCAACCCAAAGCCTGTTTCATGGCTTCTTGCTTCTCACTTCCCATCCATAACGAGCATTTAATCTTAGTGGAAAACTTTGTGGTCTTAATGACTCAAAAATTCTCTCCAGCCTGTCTGGCCCCACTCCTTGGCTGTGCCCTCAGCACTCCCAAGGCTGCAGGGACTCCAGGAGACACATCTCACCCCAGGGCACATTCTCAGGACACATTCCCACAGCTCCTGCCTGAGAGTCTCATTCTCTCTCCAGCTCAGTGTGAGAGTTTTCCAGGCCCCCTCAGCTGTAAAGGTTCCCCCAGCAAAGGGTTTCTTACCCAGTTTTCTCCTGTGGAGGCAGCACAGGGAGTGGTAAGCATAAGACTTGATGGAAGAGGCTTGTGGAAGAGATCCAGGTTGGCACTGGAAGTCCCAAGTATAGTCTGAAATCATTGTCTCGTCTGCTGCCAGCTTGTTTGTCTGTCTCATGCTCACAAACCCATGTATTCAGCTCACAGTTGAGTCATTAATTGCTTTACCCATCGATGAAGCTGCTTGTGCAAGTTCCAGTTGCTCACAAAACCATGTATTTAATTCAGAATTCAGTTTGCACTTATTAATAACGGTTTGACATTCCCTGAACATCCTCATATACTGTCCCACCTCTCTTGAGTGAATCTCCCATAGTCCTTTAATGAATTGTTAGTTTGCTCTCTCGTGGCTTATGATTTTTAAAAGTACATGTGAGGTGATGCTTGAGGTGCAAGCACGTGCACTTGTTGGTTATTTCCATTTTGGCCTTGGTGGTGTCTGGAGCTGGCACTGGTTATTCTGCTTAAAAACCTTCTGGGTGAGCAGGCCTGGGAGGAAGCTGCTGATGTTTGAACTCTTTAACCTTCTGAAATCTGAATTTGTGTGCAACTTACGGCGGAGGGTTCCTCTTCTTTTGAGGTGGCAGAAAAATGTTGCCTCCACTGGAGATGCTAACGGGGACTCCTTAGGGATCATGGCCAGCTTGTTTTGATGTGTGACAGCACGAGGAGCCTGTAAATAAAACAAACAGAAACCCGAGTAGGCATTGAGCTGTTTGAGCTGTGCCAGAGGGGGGTTTGGTGGGGCCACTCTGGGGGTGCTGGGCACCCTTGGCACCCGCAGTTCCTGCCAAAGCAGAGCAGACGGTGCAGTGGGAAGAGGAAAAAGTGTTGTGGGAAAAAAACACAGCGGGCCGTGCGTGTCCCCACCCCGTTCCCACCCCACTGACAGCCCCGGCCCCATCGCAGCATCCTGCGGGTCACAGAGCGCAGCTCTGGGCAGTGTGCAGGGGCTCTGCAGCTGCTGCTCTCCCCTCTTTCTCCTCTTTTTTCCCCCCTCTTTTTTCCCCCCTCTTTT